TGTTTATTCTTCAGGTATATATTAAAAGAAAGGACAAATTATTTGACATCTCAAACGTCTCATGTGTACTGTGTAATACAGTTCTATGTGTGAGTGCTTTTTCTTTTGGTAAACTCAAGTGTTTAATGTACTGTGTTTTAAGAGATAAATGACATCTGGAAACATCTGAAGTTCATTTAGAAATGAGACCTCATTGGTTTTTCAGAGCAATTCAGAGGCGAGCCACTAGGTGTCTCTAAGTGTAAAATAAAAGTACTCAAGACGGCAGTTAAGACTACGTAAGAACATGTGCAACAGAGATAGAAGAGAAAGAAAAACGTTTCCTTTTATAGGGAACGAATATGTACTTTTAAAAGTCAGAGAGCAGAAATGTTGGATCTGGACTCTGAGCTCAGGACTCTTTTTTAATGTTATTCCTCCTTAATTATAATGAGCACGTTTTAATTTTGTGTGTGTCAGCAAGCAGTTTTACTGGAATCATAGCAATGAGCAGAGCTACTGACAATGAAATGCAAACTTCAGAAATTCTTGGTTAACTTAAAATAGATTCTAAGAAGAAAAATGCTTTGAGATTTATTTGCATTGTTTAAGGTAGCTTTTTCTGATCTGTCTTGCTGTACAAAGGGGGCATGCTTTCTGGGGCATGTCTGGGGCATGTAGTATCAGTGTTCCAAATGACTTTGTCATTGAAGAGACAGAGGTCACAGTGGGGGCAGAATAGTACCCAAATTTGAGGACTATAATCAGAAGTACGTGGTCTTCTTTCTACTTAATATAGTGGCACAATTGCTCAGTATCTATGTAAAATAGTGAAAATATTTATCTTTCTCTTCATAGCATTCTGAATGAGAGGATCGTGAAGCACCATACAGATGTTAATTCAAACAATATTTTCATAAGACAGGTAAGTGATAGCATTGTCAGTCTTACTGGAATCGAGGAGACATGAGGGGATGTGCAAAATTTGCATACAGAAGTCTTAGGGTTAATATGGACTTAATAATCTATTTTTAATAAAGTTTAGTACTAAATTAAAAATTACAGTTTTCTCATTAACTCCAGGTATTTAATTATTAAAAAACTAGAAATTTGTGGCACATACTTACGTTGGAATAAAAATAGAATGGAAAAACACCTATGATATAAGTTTGGTTTTAGTCTAATTACCTAGTAGCTCCTGTGACTATCACAAATATGACAGGTGGAATATGGACCTGTGAGAAGTTATTGTTTTTTTTCTTTGTGTTAAAACTGCAGGATTTTTTTACTGCTGTGGCTTGACTTCTTGGATATTAGTAATGAATGGATATTTCAGTAAACTTTGCATCTCTGTACTTGGTGGTTAATAACTAGCAAGGATGGGCCTTCCTTTGTATCCTGTTGGAAGAGGGTAAATGGAGTACATTACAGTAATTTATCAAGGTGGTTCTTGTGAAGCACAGACTACATCATCTATTCTCTCTAGCCATAGCTGTGCCTATCTTTTGGATGCAAGGACAAAAATGATCTAACTTGTAGTTTCTATTTTCAATATTGCTTATAGTTTTTCAGGGTCAGAAATCAGCTGATTGATTTTTTTTTTTAATTTTTTTTTCCTGCTTATCTGTTGCTTTGGTGATATATCTCCTGATAGAATATTTTGTTACAGAGTTCATTATTTCTGTCTTTTTATCACTTATTGAGTCTACTGAAAATTATAGTATATACCTGGGGATGCAGAATCTATATTTCTGAAAGGTAGGAATGAACTGTCTGGAAATTTATTTTCTTTCTTGCTTTCCTGGTTGAATTCCTTCTCATCAGTTTCAGCTTTCTGTGTTGTTATTATGACAATGATAACGCAGGTGTTTATCTTAGAATTTGATCTGAAGAGTGTGTCCTTTTTTCCCTACAACAGACAAACATCTTCTCCCTCTAGCTCTTGTTTTAAGCCACTGACTGACTTCAAAAAGGAAGGAAAAAAGAAAAAAGTTTGTTTTAACCTACTGAGGTGACTGCCATATTTCTTCATGTGTTAGTGTAAGGAGATACTGATGAATCTTGATCAGCTCAAAATTTCAGTCACTATATTAATTTTCAAAGGAGCAAATTCCCTTTCTTCTCAATGGAAGAATTTCAGAAGAAAGCTAGCAAAAATGCTGGTGTTCAAAGGTCAAAAGTTCTTTAAAAATACACGTGGGTAGGCATAAAGGTAGCCAAGAAATGATGGCTTCATAATGGTCAAAGATAGATATGTATCAGATGCAAGGAAGCTGCTCATGCACTCTATATTTGTAATATCAATTGAAATTTAGCTAGTTTTTTCCCTACTAAGTTTACTTTTTAATAATATCTTCTGTAATTAAGTTATCTTAAATCAGCAGTAGGCTATGTCTTCATTTTTCTTGTGAAAGTTGAGAGTTTCGTTCGCATGTTTTTGCAATCAGTATTCAAATGTGCTCTCTTCCTTGTTTTCATTGCGCAACATATTATATTAAAATCTCTGAGTTCATGACCATAATTGTTGCATTACAAGTATCCTGTTGAGGAGGAAATTCCTGAGAAGAACAATGTGTAGTCTTAATGCCAAATAGGTAAATAAAAAGGCTGACATCTCCTTGCTTGTAATGAATTAACTGAAAGATGCTGGCATGCTTCAGTTTGCTAAATGCGCTATATAAATTCATATAAAGAAAGAGAAATAAAAAAATTCTCACAAAAAAAAATAAATATGTAAGCTCACAAATGAAAATAATCATATCCTCCTTTTACCAGTGGAGAACTTGGATTGAAAACTAATTGCATATATTTTCTGGAAGCAGATCATTCAAAAGTGTCAGGTATCAGGTGGCAGACACATCCTGAGCAGCAACATTGTACCAGATTACCTTTTTCTATTGAATAGAGTGGAATGAAAGTATATACAGTTGTGATATAGTTTAGATAAAAATATGATATAAACAACTCCATTTGATTTTGTTTGGGTTTTTTTTTCAGTGTCTTTCTAAATTCTTGATTCAACATGTAGATCTGAAGTGATGGGACTTCTTAATTGAAGTCAGCTTATAGGACTGAAATGTAATATCAGACATTAAAGTAGAAATAGTAATATGGAAAAGGAGAAATACTGGGAAAGACTTGACTAAGTAGCAGGGCTGTTCTGCAGCTTCTACTCTTATGTCCTTTAGCCAAACACCATCTTGGCAGCTTGCTCCAGCTTAGTGCTTTTCATTATTCCAAGTGAAAAAGTATTTGCATGTGCCCTGTCTTAGTACGCATTTACTTCTGCTTCTGTTCAGTTATTCTCTGCATATTTCTTACCATACAGTTGTAACAAATTGTTACATATGCAATTAACAGTTGCAGATGTAACAAACAATTGTGTCATGACATCACAGCAAAGTAAACGAACCACAGTGACTGCTGGAACTGAAGGATTCAAGGAGAAAGTCAGTATTCTACATCAAGGGCCCTGATGTCTGAGAAGGTGAGTGAAAGAAAGGAAGAGGCAAGTTTGCACACTTTTGGAAGGATACGGAGATGCAGCTGTGTAACTTTGACTCATGCTAAGGCTTATTGTGGACTCTGTTTACTGAACTCTAAGTCAGCAGTGATCAGGTTTTTGTTCCAAGTAAATTTAATTTTTATTTTATTTTTTTTTCATTTGACCCAAATGCACACTTGAGATCAGATTCTCAGTCAGTGTCCACCAGACTAACTCTGTTCACTTCAGTGGAACACCCTTGCTTGCATAAGGTGGAAGCCTGGCTCTAAGACTATCAGGCAGCTGTGGGAAACTTGTTCAGAATAAATAGAAATTAAAAAATATATGCAAATATGTTAATCTAAAACACAAGACCGGAAAGGAATATTAACAGTTTCACTATTATAAAATAGTAGCATGATCCTAGAACAATATAAGCACTAGACATTTTGGTTGGGGAGGCTAAATCAAGACCACACATAATGCAAGTTACTGTAGGCTTTCATGAAATCTTGCACTGAATTTTCTTCACTGTCACACTTCACAGACTTGTGACCTTGTGGGCTATTACTGAATCACAATGAAGGAACCTCTCTAGATCTAGTTCAACATCCCAGCTAAAAACCAGGGTTTCCCAGCATTGTATCCAGTCATGTTTTGACTGGCTTTAAGGACAAAAACTCCCTATCCTCTCTAGTCAACCTCTTTCAGCGTTAAACTGCCCTCACAGTAAAAATGAGTTTCTTGTATTCAGGTGAATCTGAGTTTCAGTTTGTGCCCATTGCCTCTTTACCTGTTATTAGACAATAATGAGAAGAGTCAGGCTTGTTCACACCCTCCCATCAGGTATTGATAAATATTGATAAACCGCCCAACGTCCCTGAACTTTCTTTCATAGAGGCTAAACAGTCTCAGCTCTCACCTCTTCTGAGGTGTAGCTATCATCCAGATCCTGTTTATTGGAAGAAACAAAAAGTAAATCCCCCCCCCCAAAATGAACCCCAGTATTAATCTGAAGAAGTAGGCATAAACACTACAGTTTTTATAATTCAGTGCTTTGAGTATTGTAAAATATTTTAACATGGTATGAGAATATCTACTATCCAGTGAAGTGCTGCAGTAGAATTAGGAATTCATGAGGTGTATTAAATTCAGCTCATCTTTGTGCAATATTTATTCACACTTTATTTTAGAAAAAGAAGTCTACTTATGCTTAGAGATAGCTAATAAAGTAAGCTTTGACAATGTGAATATGTTTAAAAAAGGAAAAAAATAGCTAAACTTTCTATATTCCACTTCAGATGCTTTGCAAGTGTTAAAATCAAAGTGTAAGAACTCCTGAAGTATGTTATTATTAAAATAGTTGCACTGGGTTTGTTATTGCTGGCAAAGATAGCATTCAGAAATGTGTTTAGACTAGAGACGGCTGCATACAGCAGATAAAAGTTGAGGAAATGAGGGTGAGGAAACAGTTGTAATATTTCTCCTTTCTTCTTCCATCTCAGAGTATGTACAGAGGGAGAAAGAATTTGTCATTGGTCTTTCACTGCTACATCAATTGGCTGGCTTTCCTCCATGTGAAATATGGGAGGAGCATGCAGGAAAAGTGAAACACTTGCAGCGAGGAAACAGGAGGAAAAGAGTAATTTAGTCTTAAAGCGAAACAAAGTTTTCCTCATTTGTAAAAAAAAAGCTTAATTTCAATTTATGTTCTTTAAAATATTTTTCTACTGGAATGGAACTTCTCTCTGTAAAAGGTAGGGTTTTTTTTTTATCATGCAAGCTTCTTAACTAGTGTGACATATTTATTAGGTGGCTGTAAAAAACAACTGAGCAACTTGACAGACTGCAGATGTGCATTGCTCATTTAAGTGAATGGGAATATTTCTTGCAGTACTTCCTTCAAGGGAAGCCACCTAAGTACAGTGTGTCAGTTCTGCAGTCTTGAGTTTTAACTGCTGCAGTGTTTAAGCTGCTTGTAGCTCAGAGACAGTTTGTTCTATCATTTCTGTTGAAAGTGAAAGCTTTTTTAGTGTGAAACATGATGGAATTATTGCAGAATGTCTGACAGTTGAAATGTGACGCAGTTCTGTAGAATGCTTGGGGATGCTTAGAGATAGATGAAAGCAAAAATAAGGAAAAGGATGGTAGATTAAGTTAGACAAGGGGGAAGGGAATCATAAAGCAGTGGGAAGCTTTTGGGAACCGTTGCAGTGTAAAGGTGTGGACCCAGTTGTTCTTTTAATGGCGATTACTAGGTCATAAGTCAAATACTAAAATTTGAGGTATACATAAGTATTCTGCAGTGATATTTCATTCAAATTTAACTGTTTCATATGTGTTGATATGGCAGGAAAATTTAAAATATTAAATACTTTAAAATATTTAATTATATTCTTCAAGTCTAAATTCAGTGAAGTTTAGTAGTCAGGCACTTCATAAAAAATGATGACTAGGTTAGATTTTTATGGTTATGATAACTATCTGAACTAGTCCTCTTAGCTTCAGGGCATTTTTCATTCATGTAAGTGGTACCATAGCAAGGAATTTGAGGCTGTTGAACAAAGCTGGAATTTCAAATGTTCACTTCTTAATTGGAAAGGTGTTTACTGCAGTATGTATTTTATACTGGGCAGAGAAAATACAATTTAATAAAGGATTCTTTGTAAGATGATAGAAGGTACTTTTTATGAAGTCTGTGAGACTTCTGTGACTTCTCAACAGAGAAGAATTTTGAACTATCGTTATGAGGTGGTGGATAGCATACTACACAGCCTGGTCACGTGGACTCCATTCTGCCCTTTGTGTTGTATCCATATATTTATTAGTTTTCTGTAAACTGCAAAGACTGTCCACATTTTCTTTCTCAAAGAATTCTGAGTAATCAGATTATCTTGCCGCTAAGGTGCTTCCATTTTTTTTTGTTTGTTTTCATTTTTGAGAGGTTTTTTTATACCCCAGAAATCCCTTAGATTTATTTTCATAAAATTTATTGGCAATCATTGTTAAGCTAGTATCGGAATATGTTTTATTTTTTTTTTCCTTACAGTGAAAAAAGGAAGGTTGGATAAAGCAGCTGGTAAGTCTGGTTTCCTTTCTAATCTAGGCTTTATATTTTTGTTTCCAGGGCATCCCTGTGTTTATCACACTAAAGAACATTTAAGCCCGGGACTACTTGCATGCATTTCATCAACAGTTCAATACAAAGCAAATGATGAAAGAATTAAATATGTATACTTAAAAGAACAAATTAAGTAACAAGATAGTAGCCTCAGACAACCTGTAATTTTCAGGTATGAATCATTGTCTCTCAAACTAGTGGTATTTAAAGAATATTTCCACTAAAAAAGAAAATTTACATAATTTGATGGGGGAAAAATAGAAGGTAATTAGGTTTGATCACCTGGTGTGATACATAGGATCATGAAATTTTCAACTGAGAAAGAGATTATAGTTTAATATCAAGATAATAGAGCAATGAAACAGAGTACCACTAAAAATGTGTCTTAAGGTCTGTCTTGTTACTTATGGCTTAATTTAAAGAAGCTTTAATTTCAGGGGAAGGCTTATTGTAGTATATTTATTTAAATGTAGGTATAAATGTGGGTGTTCAAAAGGGCTGGAGTTACACATTGTGGGCTGCTGTTATCAGCCAAGTGATTTAATGAAGAGTTCCTTTGAAAATTTAACAATCCTTGAATTGAAAGCCTCCAAAGGACAAACAAATTCGCAAATTTTGTTTTGTTTGTATCAGTTACACAGAGTAAGCAAAAGGATGGTATTTGAATCATGCATTGTCGGCACCATTCCCTGCAAATAAGTCACCAGACTTCTAGGTTTGTATTGACTTTGTCAAGTTTTTTTCAGTCTAAGAACAAAGCCATGTTTGAGAAAGCTGTTGCACTGAATTATACAAAATGGATAACATTGATCACTGTTGATTTTTGTTTATTGAAAAAAATACTTCACATTACATAACATCCAGTCCTTTTGTCAAACATAATCATCAGTCCTAATCGATAAGATCTACATACAGGATGTACACAGCCAACTCTTCTCCCTCATTTTTTAAATGCAGTGTAATTTGATACAGCCTATTCAACAAGTTGTTGTAGACAGTGACAACTTCCCTCCAGCTCGGACTGGTTGACTGACCTGTGGCAACAAAGAAAGCTCAACATTACTTCTGCTCTTGGCTGTATCTTGTGTATGTTTTGGCAGTAATTCTGTTTTTTTAATGAAAAGGGGTTTGTTGTTTTTTTTTTCTTTTTTTTTTTTTCTGCCATATGTAAGTATTGATCCTTATGTGGGATGCTGGAGGCTAATGAAGGATTTGTTGTATGCATGAAAGTTAAGAAGCTTTCCTGAGCAGCCACATTCATGGAGATGACATAATAGGTGCTTTGCTGCCTTAAATCCCTGTGCAAGGCCCTAAAGGATATAGAGCTTTTCCTTCTTTCTTTGTGCTTTTTTCTCTCAGTGATATTTTCAAGCACTTTGATTTCTTTTTTATTTTATTTTACTCTTTTTGCTGAGTAATTTGTGCTGATTGTTTGCATGAGTACTCATACTCTGCAGTTAAAGTTGTTTACGAAAATATTTGAGTTCGTTTGGGGCTGCATTTGAGATCCATTTTGCTGCTAGACAGATCTAGATTCCCCCAAAAAGGCAAGACTGAATTGCATGTTGTAAGTGTATGAACTTGGCTTAATTGGATATAGAACCCCATTAGCCAGTCACCAATATTATCATGCCATTTGACAAGCAAAGAAAATCCTAAATTGCAGAAAGGGAGCATGTACTTGTTTGATGCAGGAACTGTCAGGGAGATTGATAAATAATCTGAGAAGCCACCTGGAAGCTGGTCCTAAAATACTTGCTCACATTAGAATTATGTCCTTTCCCACCTATGATGGGCAGAGGTTTTCCTGTCATAATCACATCAGAATTAACAATAATTTCATTGTTAAAATACACTTATTTGCACCATGCCTCTGAAGGTTTTTTATGGAATAAGAGTTAAACGCCTGCTACCATGGGGTTGAAAGTTTCCAGCTTCTAGGTGGAAATAAAGTTGGTTTTAATGTGCTGGTTATTTCTTTTTCAGATGCATTCAAAACCTATGTTGTTTTGAAAGTCCAAAATTTAAAAAGCGCTACAGTAGACAGAAGAGGAAGTGAACCTTGCTGGGAACAGGACTTCATGTTGTAAGTAACAGGGAATTCTTATCAATTGGTTTTGTTTTCTTTCCTGTATTTGGATGGTTTAGAGCAGTTAATAACACCTGCAATAATGTACAAACCACAGAAGCAAGGAAAAAGTACCCAGCTCAGAGAAAGGGGCCAGGCTATTTCTAGGGAACAGGATAAAAGTTAATTTGCAAGCAGATTGCTGCAGATCAAGGCACAGCAGTCAACAAGGGGGAAGTATTTGTCTCCAGTATCTTTAATTCCATGTAATGTTTTAGCAATACAGGAATGAGAAGGAGAACTTGAACTCCTCATGCAATTTTTGTTTCACTCAATTTCCTTTCTGTATGACTCATATTTTATACATTCCTTTATCTACTTAATAGCCAGTTTAGGTATTTTTCTTTATTTTTTTGTTTTTTCTTTTTTTTCACTAACCTGTACTGTTTCTCACTTCTGTCTGCAGATCTTTGTCCACTTCACTCAACTCTCCATCTTGTTATTCGGTTTTTATTATCCACTTTTCTCTAGAACCTGACTGGTCAAGAGGGTCCAAACACTAATTTACATACTGACTGACATTCTGAGGAAACCTCCTTTCAACTGTCTACTTGAAAGCAGTAAAACCAATAAATATGTAGCCTCATTAGATGCTGAAATTGTATGTTGATTTTCTATCACTTTCGGTCTCTCTTTTTTCCCTGCACAAAGCTTCCTCTGTCACCACATCCTTGTTGTGGGAACATAGATTTTGTTCCTGAGGTCTAGAGGTGCTTGAAATATTTTTACAGAATTAAGCATTTGATTGGCTTTGCTTATTTGTAAGAAAAATGTCCTTTTGACTATTTTTTTTCCTAATCCAAGTATTTTAGTATTTAGTCAGAAGAATGAGGGTGGTTTAAATTATTTTTCCGTACTTTCTGGTTACCAAAAACCCCATTAACATCTTCTGACAGACTGCATATGCTGAAACTGACATTTTAATTGAAATACACCCCCCTCATGTAATTTTTTTCTGTATTAAAAGCAGCATTTCTAAAATATGATTTTTTTCATAAATACTCCCCATAAATTAATTTTATTTTGCAGTGGTTTTTATCTCAATTAGGGAGTTAATCACAAATATTTCCTAGTTATTGATTGAATTTGGAATGTGTTTGGTATTGTGCACCTGATTTCTTAGATAACTGTAGCAGACTACTATCTTACTTAACAGGCCCTTCAGTCATTCAGACTCTAGCTATGTTAAGCCAACATATGTACATTCTTTACATGACATCATATGGCTTGATGTAACGATATAATAAAGAAGTAATGAAATATTCTGACTCCTGACCACATAAAATTAATCTAGCTCTAATTTCTCCACCACTCCGCAGCCATCAGGTTTCTCTAGCAGACTGTTCAGAGCTACGGCCTAAGTTATCCAAACAGGAGTATCGTATCTGTGCTTGAAAATGCAAAAGAAACTAGTATCAATAGTTAGCTTAGTTAGCTTTTTAAAATACTATTCCTATACTGCAGCTTTGACTTGTTTGTCATGTTTCAGTGTAGAGGAAGCATTGCTGCATTATAATACTGAGTTAAAAGGATCTATTTTTTCTTAGCACTTTACTAATCCAGACAATAGTTCTATAAGACATTGGGTGTGGATTTGATGACAGTGTATCAGCATATCAGGAAGTAGATCATTTAAATTTCAGCACTTGGCAAATCTGTTACCTTAGTGCAGGAGGCAATTAAAAATATTTTTAAGTGTGTGTAACCTATCCTCTAAATTTTCCTGATATCATGATTAAACCCCAGCAAGCAACCAAATACAGCGCAGCCACTCACTCACTCCCTTCCCCACCCCTGGTAGGATGGAGAGGAGAATTGGAAAATGGTAAAACCTGCAGGTTGAGATAAGAACAGTTTAATAATTGCAATAAAGTAAGATATAATAATAGAAATAACAATAATAATAATGATAGGGAAAAGAGACAAAATTCAGGAAACACAAGTGATGCACAATACAATTCCTTACCAGCTGCTGACCGATGCCCAGCCAGTCCCAGATTAGTGGCTTCTGGCCAACTCCCCCCTGTTTATATACTGAGCAGGATGTTATATGTTATGGAATATCCCTGTGGCTAGTTTGGGTCAGCTGTCTTGATTGAGCACCTCCTCATTGGCAGAGCATGAGAAACTGAAAAGTCCCTGCTTTTGGAGTAAGCACTACTTAGCAACAACTAAAATATCTGTGTGTTATCACTATTCTCATACTAAAGCGAAAACACAGCCCTGTACCAGCTACTAGGAAGAAAATGAACACTATCCCAGCTGAAACCAGGACACCTGAGGAATGTGCTAAAATATTTAATACATTAGCTTTGCTGCTGTATAAGTGCTTTCCTTTTAATTATACTCTATGTAAATGAAAGTGTTCCATGACATCAATGGGAGCAATTTATTAGGATTATTTTCTTAGTTTGCAATTAAAATGTTACAATGGAGAACACTAATCATAACATACTTTTCTAGCAAGTATGTTATGAGGTTGATGCAGCTCCATCTACTGCCTACTCAACTATACAGCACAGCAGACTTAAAAGGTATTTACAAATATATTTATGTAGACTTTGTACTCACTGAATAGTTTTGGTTAGAAGGGACCTTTAAAGGTCATCTAATCCAGCCCCCTGCAATTGGCAGGGACATCTGCCCATTGATCAGATTGCTCAGAACCACATCCAGCCTGCCCTTAAATGTTTCCAGGGATTGCACATTCACCACCTCTCTGGGGAACCCATGCCAGTATTTTACCACCCTTATTGTAAACAATTTATTTCCCACATAAAGCCTGAATCTCCCCTCTTTTAGTTTAAACCCATCACCCCATATCCTATCACAACTCGCCCTGCTTAAAAAGTGTCTCCCCACCTTTCTTGTAGGCCCCTTGTAAATCATATTGTAGTTCAGTTTTTAAAGGGCTCTTTCCATCTCTGCCTGTAAAAACCAGCAAGTTTTTGTTAGCATGATGTGTCCCTGCCCATGACAGGGGAGTTGGAACTAGATGATCTTAAGGTCCTTTCCAACCCAAACCATTCTATGATTCTACGCAGCTATTACCAGCTTGCATTTTAAAAATGAGTACTGTTTAAGCTTTCAGTGTGCAGTGTCACTGCTCAGTTATCAATGCAACAGTTTCAAAGTTGGGGTCTGAAAATATTAGAAGAGAAGAATTTACAATCCATCTTCCATAACATATTTATAAAGGGAGAAGCTGAACAAAACAAAAATTAACTATATCTATTCAACTGCAGAAGTAACAGCAGAAAATTAGACACTGAGGCAGCCAACATAATGTTTTTAGAGCAATGCAATGAGTTCAGTACCTGTCTCGGGGTGGTAGCCTTTGCTCTTCTCAGATTTCACCTGTCCTTTTCCTGGTACCTTGAAGTACATGATAATTCACTGTGTGACACCACACAAAGCAGCTGAAGATTAGTTTTAGTAATTAAAATGATTTTAGTCAAATGAAGGTTACATAATCTGTGACAGCAGAGACACTAATGCCTACTTTGTCATACTGTTCATATTTACAGAACTGGGCTGTAACTGCTTATAGTGATATACAAAGGAATGCCAGACATTCCATGAGGAAATAAATTCTCTCTTAATTTTAGTTCAATGCATGGGTGAGTCATATGATCTGGTAAAAATTTATTTTAAATGTAATACAAAAAAAGGTTGTGGTATGTTTTTTCTTTTGTTTTTGTCAAAACCAACTAGTAACCAAATGCATTCATCCTATGAGTAGAACTAAAATAGAGCCTGGATCTGCAGCACTTGACTTTGACTGTATTTCCCACTGTATTTTTGCTTTATAGTGCAACTTCTGAATTCTGTGAGAGAAACAATCTCCAAATGTCTTTTGTGCCTGGTCTTCTTTACAAAAAGAACAAGAAATTGGTCTCACACTTCCTCTTCTAGATTTTTGTGAGGGAAGATAGATTCCTCTCCCCATACCATTATAAATTATTCTTAGCTGATGATCCATGTTGATTGACAGTGTGTACCATCAGAGTTGACATTGCCAACTCTTACTGTTTCAGTGAAATGTTCCGAGTTTTATGTTCAAAAGACTGATCATTTTTGTAGATCCCAGTTTTACCTAAAAACAACTGACAAAAGGCTATCTATTTTACACTATTCTTGTGCTTAGCAAGTTTGCTACAATGGAACCTGGGAATGCAGGGCTGGCCTGCAGAGACCAGTGTCCTGCAGAGACAGCTGAGGAATTCCATATGCAGAAGCTGCTCAGAAGAAGATATAGCAAAAGTAAATGCATTTCCTGTTCTTGGTTTCTCCTTGGGTTATATCCAACAACCCTCATAGCAAAAATAAAGCTACCAACAACTGAAATTTCTGTGCCTCATTTCCAGCAGAATTGTCCTCATCAGTTTGTAAGAGCAGTCCAGAACAATGAGACTTGACCTGTCCAGTCTAACCTTTGTATCATTCCTGCTATCTTACAATTTATGAGTGTACTGAAAACAAACCACTTCTGTATTTGCTGTAAGTCAATAACTCAAGTTATTATGATAGGTTACTGAGCACTTGAATCTGCATTTTCAGTTTAATTGTTGGTGTATTCATTGTTTTTAGTGAAATCTGTGATGATGGAAAGGGCTTCATTATCGAGTTGTGGAAGAAAGGCTTGCTTTGGGATAGCATTTTAGGAATTTTATGGATTCCCTTTGCAACTGTGGAACATGCAACAGACGTAAGTTGACTTTCTGTGGAAATAGAAATACACATCAGTCATAAATGTCATTACAGTCTTTGGGAAGCTAAGAATCAGAAATTAATTGAATTTTACTCAGTGTTTTCCATCTCATTTGTTTCAGTCTGGAATATTGCAGCATAATGTACATGTGACTCTCTGACAACTGAGAGCCAGAGAAATGGCTCACATACTGAGTCAAGTATAATTCAGTAAGTGGGTTAGAATTCATCTGCACTCTCAAATTATTGGGGAGGTAGGGATAGTTTGGTTTATGCAATAAGAGTGAGGGAATTTCAAATTGAGGTTCTTGGCCTGTTCCTCATTGTGTGACCTTGGGTAAATCTCTATTAAAACAGGCAAAATACTGTTCTGTCTGTCAAGGGAATAGGCTGTTGCCTCAAAGAGGAAAACAGAAATTTGCCCCATGGTACTATGGAAGAAATTAATAGTGCAATAAGTACATAGAGAAAGATGAGTGAAGAAAATGGATCAATCCCAAGAGTTATTATGTATCCAGTGTAGTTATAGTTAGCCACCAGAATGAGCATGCTTGCTCTCACTAGGCTAGAAAACAAAAGAAAAAGGGTTTCTGGGAGTTTGGAAATATGAAAAGCAATCTGCAAGTGCTGCTAAATTGTCTGAAATTGGAAAAAGTAGAAGGTGCCCTATGCTAATCTTATTTTAATACTCCACAATTCTCCCATGCATAAATATGCTTTCCTACACAGACTTTTTTAACAGAGTAACTGTGAAATAGAAAAGGTGAATTAAATCCTTGCAAATAAAATTAAGTTTGCCTTTTTTAAATATTTTTTAAATACAAAAGGCAATTGATGATGAGGTAAAGGAGAGAGAAACAGAAAAACCTCTTCCTACAGCGTCTCCCATCAGACTCTGTAGCCATTTCTTTACAGGAACTAATAAATATTCGTATATACATTTAACTGACATTTCAATAATTCTGCTCAGAATGGAAGTAAGGAAATAAAGTAATTCCTGCCTGAATTAGAAGTTTCTCTGTATCACAGCTGCCAAATACCATTTCAGGGCCCAAGGCAAGTTGTTTTGTTCTGCTATCCTAGCTGTTGAGTTACAACTTGCTGACAGAGATTGTAGATTAACAGTAAATACTGAAATGTAAAACAAAGATTCAGGAGTAGAGCTTGCTTCTTAATTGCCTGAGACCTTCTAGGCCTTCATTTGTATTCAGGCCACTGTGGAACTTTCCTGATTATTTGTCCTCCTCATGTTAACCCCACATCTCTGCTCTGGGCTTTATGACTCAGAAATAGCCTAAAAGGGAGTGTTACTTCAGAAGCTTTCTTTTGGTTTGGTTACTAGCATATATTGATTGCTTCAGTCTTTCTAGAATGTACTTGTTCAGCACAAGTTGAAAGGGGAACTGGAAAATCTCAGTTCATAACAGGAATTTCCAATATTTGTGTTTATTGGGTCTCAGGCATCTGATGATCTTAGCATGTATTTGTTTATATTGTAGAGAAAATACTTTCCTGTTTCTTATTTCCTGCCTGTTAGAGAACATGAAGAAGTAATAACTATTACTTATATAAACAAAAGTTGGAAGAGTCTACAAGGGATTCTGAGCCTACTTAGGATCCTGAGTCTATGTGGCAGAGTCTAATTGGAGGCCTGTAGGCCTGCCTCAAGGGTCAGTACTGGGACCAGTATTATTTAATATATTCATCAGTGATTTAGATGAGGGAATTGAGTGTACTATCAGCAAGTTTGCTGATGACACTAAGCTGGGAGGAGTGGCTGACACGCCAGAAGGCTGTGCTGCCATCCAGCGAGACCTGGACAGGCTGGAGAGTTGGGCGGGGAATAACTTGATGAAATATAACAAGGGAAAGTGTAGAGTCCTGCATCTGGGCAGGAACAACCCCAGGTTCCAGTATGGGTTGGGGAACGACCTGTTAGAGAGCAGTGTAGGGGAGAGGGACCTGGGGGTCCTAGTGGATGAAAGGATGACCATGAGCCAATGCTGTGCCCTTGTGGCCAGGAAGGCCAATGGCATCCTGCGGTGTATTAGAAGGGGGGTGGTTAGTAGGTCGAGAGAGGTTCTCCTTCCCCTCTACTCTGCCCTGGTGAGACCTCATCTGGAATATTGTGTCCAGTTCTGGGCCCCTCAGTTCAAGAAGGACAGGGACCTGCTGGAGAGAGTCCAGCGCAGGGCAACTAAGATGATTAAGGGAGTGGAGCGTCTCCCTTATGAGGAAAGACTGAGGGAGCTGGGTCTCTATAGTTTGGCAAAGAGGAGATTGTGGGGTGACCTTATTAGTGTATATAAATATATAAAGGGGGAGTGTCACGAGGATGGAGCCAGGCTCTTCTCAGTAGCAAACAATGATAGGACAAGGGGCAATGGGTACAAACTGGAACACAAGAGGTTCCACTTAAACTTGAGAAGAAACTTCTCAGTGAGGGTGACAGAACACTGGAACAGGCTGCCCAGGGAGGTTGTGGAGTCTCCTTCTCTGGAGACATTCAAAACCCACCTGGACACATTCCTGTGTAAACTTATCTAGGTGTTCCTGCTCCGGCAGGGGGATTGGACTAGATGACCTTTTCAGGTCCCTTCCAATCTCTAGCATACTGTGATACTGTGATACTGGTACTATAACAAAACTCCTATTGACTTAGGGGGACCCTTCATTCAGGAAAAAGTGGATAATGCTCTGAATCCTACCCAGGCAACTTTCAGAATTTTTTTTGTAGGAAGGTCCAGGTTCCTGGTGGACATTGCATTCTGAAGTAATAAAAAATGGAAGTGAGATTCAAGGCACAAAAACCCCAACTTCACATGAGATCTTACTGGATGTCTACTTTGTGTTACCATTTGGTGAGTTATATATTGAGGTTTCTCTCGAGCTTTACAATTATTCTATTCCTATTCCATATTCTATTCCATAAAATTCCTGAAATACAGTGGCAAATAGTAATTTTTCTGATGAATAAATGCTTATTCATCACTGGAGCATTAGTGTAAGTAATACTCCTCAAGAGCCACTTCCCACAGGGAGCTAGATGAACCATCACACTGATTCATCTTCATCCACACGTGGATTGTAGAGCTCAATCTACTGGAGTCCGTGTGTTACATCTCTGTATCATGTCAGCTTGACCTGCTGTTTGTGCAAAGCAAGTGTTAGAAAAGTCTAGGGCTTCACAGCTGTTTTATCTTGTTAGCAAATGTTGTCTGCCTTTATGCATATGAAGATGGAAAATGCATGTATGTGTGTGAAAATAGTGTATTTGAAGGTAGAAATGGAAACTGATCATAAAATAATGCATCATCTCACATTGTTTCCAGATTCAGACCATGGTTCAATATGCCAAGTAAGCTTGCAAAGTAGCTCAATATTATACTCTGTAAGCAGTCTAATGAACTAAAATTTATACAAGAATAAAAGTAAAAAATGTGAAGAAATGTTAATGGGACATTATTTATCTTTTGGGGGGTAACTGTGACCTGTTGTAGATTCTTATGAGCCACAGGAGGGCCCACTTTTTTTTTTTTTTTTGCCTTTCATTCTATGATTCTTGAAACCTTTGAATCTGCAGAATGTTTTAAGTGTGTCCTTACATAGTTTTCCTATCTAGAAACTTGGTGCAAGTCTCTTATAGAAACTCTAATTGTATGTTTACAAGCTGGAAATTGAGGTTGTTGCTGATTTCAAGCTGCTGCTTGGAGGGATTTTTGGTTTGTAGGTTCATGCCTGTATTCTGTTTAGAAAAGTGAGAGTTTTAAAGACAGGCTCTGGGTCTGTAGTCTTGGGGCACTATAGAAATCCTGTAGAGGTCACTCTTACACTATAGTTTTCTGCGCAGAGGAAAGAATTCAAAAGCATTATGTCTTGGGTATTGAGAAAGCAGCATGTTTACCTTTACTCTCTACCTGGAGTTTGACTAAGGGATTACATTTTGATTGCTTATTCTGTTGAATGACTCTCAACTGGGCTGTGATCAGCTGAGAATCTGACCTTGACTATTGAGTTCAGAACAGCCTCTTTGTTACGATAAACTACATTGGAAAGGTAGAAGATTGAAGTTGTTTTTCACATTTCTTGAAATATGTCCATTTAAGAATGCCAGATACTTAGTAGAAACATAAAAGCCTTCCATGCTGGTTTAACAATATGGACTTGAACCACTGCATATAATAACAGGGGTAGTGTTTAAACATCCTTATTTCATTCATGAGTGGGTTTCTTTTTCCTTACAATTATAATCTAACGTTAGTTGTGGTAGCAGTAGGATTGTCAATTCAGCATTGCCATCTAGACTGAGCTCCATTAAAAGGCCACTAAGTAAGATAATGATCTCATGTAACTTAAATTCTGCAAGCAAATTCCCAGTAATAAAATACAGGCTCTAGATGAATACCACTGCTGAATTGCAAACACTTTTATATTTCTAAGTCAGGTTTTTAAAGGATAATCAGTCTTTGTTATGAAATAGAATAATGATTTCTAGAGTAAAATGTTCTGCAGGATGGCAGCTTTTACCTCCAGTTGTAGATGGGGCTTGCCAGGTTTCTCCAAAGATATACAAACTTGGAAAAAAGTTAGTTCTAGGCTAATAGGACATGGAATAAAGTAAACCCTGATTCCTTACTTAAAAAAAAAAAAAATACAGAACCAAAACCCAACAAAAACCCACAACAAAACAAACAACCCAAACCACAAACAACAAACCCACACCCCCACCCCCCCCAAAAAAAAAATAAAAGGAAAAAAACCCTACCACAAACAAAGGAAAAACAGAACTTCCCAAACAAAACCAACGGACCAAAACACTCAAAGCAAAACCTCTCCACATTTTTGCGTGCTCTGCATGGCCAGTTGATAATCAAAGTTGGACTGGGAAACTGAGAGGTCCATTTTCTTGACAGTCCACTTTTCAATTGTAAAATTAACTGTTTCCAAGTTTGTGTAACAAAAAGGCAACTGGTTCAGGTCTCTTCAGTTTTTCAGAGCAGCAGTCAGAAGATGATCTAGGAAATTTGTTTCTGCTATTCTTGTAAAAAGTGATTTAATTATAATAATGTTTTGTAATTGTATTAATTCCCTCTTACTATGAATTCAATTAATTCATTTCATTAATTGAATGTCTACTTTCTCTTTTAGAAGTTTCTTTTGTAAAATGGACTGAAAGATTTCTAGTGGCTTTTTTCTTCTCTGCAGATACCCACAAAGATTTAGATTTCAGACGCTGGCACAGAGGGCCATCCCTCCAAGATACAAGACATTCATATGAAGATACATATGATAGCCTGTCATCCATGGAAAGTGATTTCAGCATACAAGAAAGCAAACTAAGGTATTCTGTCATTTATTTATGTCATCTGTGATTTGTCATCTATTGACATGATTGACATCACGCATCTATCATAATATTCATTGACTTATTTATTTAAAAAAATAGTATTGTCATAAATATACAATTATTTTAAGCAAATGTGTGACTAGAAGTTTTATGAACATATAAAACCATGAAGCATGTCTCCATTATTACGGTGGAGCATCTAAAGTTTTTGACAGCTCCAAACAACAGAATTTCATCTTGCGATGTGAGGCATTAGAATGTTTGATGTTACTGGTATTTGCATGATCTTTAATGACTTTCCAGTTTGTGGTTCACAAGCATTGTGCTACCTCCATGATATTTTGATGTCTTGTGGACATTAAAGTTAAATAAATTAGAGAGAGCAATAGAAAGAATAAGTAACCCTTATTAGAGTGCTCAGTAGGTCGGCAAAATTGGCAGATGAGTGGTCTATCAGATTCCTTGTTACTGTCTTTCTGGATATGCGTTAAGTTCTATGTGGCTAAATATTGAGAGCACCTCAGTGGTAATGAAAGTCCAAGGAATTGCAGCATTCTCTGTCTGCACCCGTGACTGGGGGAATCTGGACTGTTTTACTTTTAAACACTCCCTGGAAAATCTGCATTGCTGGGACTTAACAAAGCCACCTCAGCAGCTCACTGGGAGGGGCCCTCCTTTTCCCTAATAGTCTTTAACCATGGCTCAGCATGGAGCAGGAAGGCTCCTTCTTCTCTGATGAAATCATTGTCATGAATGCAACAAAACCTGGTTCATCCAAAGTTGAAATAAATGCTGTACAGATTGTGAATAACTGCTTACAATCAAAAATAAAGAATTCAAGGACACTGCCACAAACTGAAAACTATATACCACCCCATCAAAGGAAAATTCTTGATGACAGCAATGAGATGTGACAAGTTTGTTGCATAGATATATGTTCTATAAACAATATGCCTAATGACACTAAATTATAATACTCAGACCAGCATAAAATTGAAAAGTACAAACAAAACAGTGGTGGACTTATATTTGTACGTATTTTCAGAAATGCAGAATCCTTCTTGATTTAAAAGCATTTAGAAGCCAACCATGAGTCTTGTGCTGTTCTTCTAAAACACTGAAGCAGTGAAATATTTAGCTATTGCCTTTTTGAGGTAGAGAGTAAACTGTGTGGAACTAGAGATACTGGTGAGTGAAAGCGATAGCCAACAGACTATCATCTTCTCCTACAGCACTCTCTTGTCATTCACTATTTCTCATCTCTGACAGCCTGCCATGAAAATCAATAAATTCATAAATGCTCATGAGATGACCATTCTGCCTAGTGTGATTACTGTTAGGCTCGGCTTCCTCTGTATGGGAGGGGAGACAGAGACAAACTCCATAGAGCAGTTCTGTGTAGCAGTTGCTGTTAATCAGCAATGTTTATATCTAAACCTAAGACTTCTTTGAGGTGACCAGCTTAATCTGGTCTGACACTGTGCTAAGAAAGCTGGACTGAAGGAGCATCAGCTATTGTTTAGAATACAAAGATCAAAAGAATGTGTGAACAAAAAAGTAACATATTGTGAAATAAATGTCCCCTCTTGGAGGATTAAAAAACTTAAAAGCTTCTATCCAACAGGTCTTGAGTGATATGGGTTTCATGACTGTCTAACAATAGACAGTTAAAAGTAGTGTGTTTCACAACAATATAAACATCTTTTAAATTAAATTGGACTTAATGATAGTGTTGACCCTTAAGGCTTTGCGTGTCTTTACTGTTCTCACCCTTGGGCATGTGTCCACGTAGGATTCAGCTATTCAATAGTGACTTTCTGAAAGCATAAGAGAGGAAGGGAAGCAAGTCCTGACATGATTTGGGTGTTGTAACTAATTGATTGGATCTGGAGAGCAGGAAAAACACCTGATTCCATTTTTGAAGCTAATGTATTTACCTAGGCAGGCTACCACACTTTGGAACTTTTCCAGAAGGGAATTAGTTTTTTTCTTGATTTCATTTGAGCAAGGAACAATGCTGGGGTGGTGGAGCAAGACAAGGGAAGATAATCAGTGTCTATTCTTGCTTCCCTGAGAGGAGAAGATGATGATGCCTTATGGGTGGAAGGCATAAGGAATGAAGTGGCAACAATTGTATTTCTCCCCTGCTATCATGACTTTCTGTTAAGTGGAGATGAATGCCTGGGAGGGAGTCCAGCCAGCCTCTCAAAATATCACTCAGGAGTGGTCTGAGCAGGAGCTCTCTGTGTGCTGGTATAATCACTTCTCTTTCCATCTGTCTGCAAAGACAAACTGGGGAGTAGTGTGGGGGGAGCCGTCTCTCCTTACTGTTGATTTTGGCTTTCATACTTGCTGTCACAGACTGTATTATGTTTGATTCGTGGTGTCCTCTACAGTAACTCAGGAAAGACACAGTCCGTGAGCAGCTGACACTCAAAATGGTGTGTTGTCCTGATGAGGGGTGGAACAGGCTCTTGGGAAATGCAACAGGAATTATACTGAGCACCAGGCACTTGGCTAATGTTTAAGCCATATCTTACAGCAGTGGTCCCAGAAAAATAGCTCAAACCTGAGAGAAATGATGATAAAGACTATTACTTCATTAAGTTATGTATTCTCTGAGGGGATAACGTGTTGTGTATGCACTTAAAATGACCTTTCTGTACACAGTAAAAAAAGCAGAGTCCTAATACATGTAGCTTCCACAAAATCACTAGGAAGTAAACAAATATTGCAAAAAGATCATAAATCTCATGAGAGCAATTTGCCAGTATGTTACACATATACAAGGTGCTATAGCACCTTTTTGGCTGTTGTGATCCCTGGCCTGGTTACATTTACTAGCAAGTTCTTGCAGGGTATTTACAGAGAAGTACAACTGCTTCCTTAGGGTGAGAGCTGTCAGTAATGCAGTACTCAAGAGCTATTTCTCTGTGTTTTTTCAAAGCACACATCCAGTCATCAGCATATCATCTGGGCTGACGTGTCTTTCTCAACAGAGATCTGAGCCTCTGAGCAGGTTAAGCTAAACCAAAAGAAATTAACCTAACCTGACTATGGAATTCTTTCCTTCTCTTCTTTGTCCTAGATAATGTTACTGAATTTAAATGAACTTTTGTATGACTAAATTGAGGGTCATCACTGAACTGTGAGATAATACTTTGATTTTTTTTTAATCTAATATTAGGCATTTTCAAAGATTATGAGCAGAAAGATAATTATTTCAAAGCTTAATTAAAGGTAGAGATGTGTATTTATTTAAAAAGACTGCATTTGTAGTATAAAAATACATAAACATTTGAAGTTAGGGAAGTAGATTAGACCACTTCTTTTGAATGGCTGTATTGAACACAGAATTTAACTAAATACTTAATATTTGATTGATATAGCTATTATAAATATTTAAAATTAATTCTATATATTTCAATATTAATGTGTACAAATTTTCTTCATTAATCTGTTTACACTGATATTTATTTGTCAGTTCTTTGGTTATATACATAAATGGTGTTTATAGCAGTTGACTCTAGATGTAGACTAATAGCTAATTAAGTGCAACTGATTAACTTTTTCATAAATCATAAATTAATCAGAATTTGAAGGATGCAGTAAATGATTAAGCGGATTCTTATTAGAGCAATATGTTTTCTCCCAGTCTTAAAAAAAAACCCCAAACCCCAATAGAAAGGGAAGGGGAAAATACTGTTTAAAATAAACCAAAACAACCTCTAAGTTTTCCTCTGATTAATATAGTTAATGAACAAATGACTTTGTTTGTTTGCTTGCTGTAAATCAGCAGTCAAGTTTTTTACTACATATTTCATTCTGGCTGTGTATAGTAAACATGCAATAAATCAATTTGTTCTTTCTGTATCATAGAATCATAGAGTCAAAGAATAGTTAGGGTTGGAAAGGACCTTAAGATCATCCAGTTCCAGCCCCCCTGCCCATCAGGGGTGCAGGGTCACCTCGCACTAAACCATGTCACCCAAGACTCCATCCAACCTGGCCTTGAACACTGCCATGGGATGGAGCATTCATCACACAGAATGCATAAAAATTATTATTGGCATCCAGTGCTGAATGCTAGTACTTGCAAGAATAAGATTTCATGGTTAATTTCTTTGGTACCATTCAGGTGCAAGTATGTTGTATATCCAGAGTAGCAGAAATGTATAGAATTAACACCAGAATGACTGAAACTAAAGTGTATTATAATTTTAAAATATATAAATCACAGAGAAGGACAAAATGAATGAGTACTTCATATGATTATATGTTGCTGTGTCAGGAAAAATACGTATATAAGTATTTGACTTATCCTCCTGACAAAAGTCATACTTTTCATGTGCGCCTCTTGTGTGTCATAATACTCAGGAAGTAACAGATACCTCTCTTGTATTAGCAGTATGGTATGACATAATTGCCTTAAGCTGCAATGATCTGATTTAGAACTGCAGATAAGCAGCTAAAGTACATGCAGTGTTACATTAAATGTTAAATTTGATTAAAAGCATTAAATGAAAACTGTTCTATTTACAGTCAGGCTACATTAGGATAAAAACTAATCTATGCAATTCATATACTTGCAACTTGAAACACACAAATACTAAAATAATACAGCCAATGCTTGTATTGTCAGTAAGTTTATAGTGTCTCTTCTGAGACATTTCACTTAACTGGAAAGTTAAATGGGAAATAATTTTACTGATTGAAGCAAATCTATTAATCTAGGTCTTGTAATAAAAAAATGTGTTTTGTGAAATTACTATTTTGAATAACTACTCTTTGAAATAAAAGAAGGATTGTGCTGGAAAAGTACTCTAAAAAAATATGCAAAATTAAGCTCTTATATTCCATTTTCAAAGGAACTTAAGTCACTCAGCTTTTGAAAATGTAAACGTCAGTCTCATATTAAAAATTCTGCATTTAAAAAACGACAATGAAATACATTAACAATATTAATGACTATAATTAGAAAATACCAATGCTGCCATCCACAGCCACCTAAACAAAGTAAGTGCT